CCGGAGGGCGATGATGACGCTCCCAGTGACGCTCTCTGTAGCCTCAGAGACTCAACGCACGACACGGTAGCTTCATGCACCGCCGCAGCCATGCGGCACCACATGTACGACGACATCACCCAGAGCTGGTGTCAGCAACCCAGCCAGCCCCAGCCGTCGATTAAACTGGACCTCTCGCTCCAACCGGCCGATTACGGCGCCCTGGGCCTCCAGTGCACGGTCAGCCAGGCCACCATCACTCAGGAAGTCATCGCCGACACAGGCTGTCAGAGCTGTCTGGCGGGCATCTCTCTCATGCGACGCCTTGGCGTCACGGAGGCTGACCTCGTCCCGACGTCCCTGAGGATGCACGCAGCAAACGGCGATCCCATCGACATCCGCGGAGCGTTGATCCTACGTATATCCGGCCACCGCGACGGCATTCGGCGGGAGACTCGACAGTTCGTGTACATCACGCCGAACTGCGACACCATGTACCTCAGTCGAGATGCCTGTCGTGACCTCGGCATGATCGACGCCGCTTTCCCCGCTGTCGGGCTCGCGTCTATCTCCGCGGATGGGATCGGCATCGACGAGTACAACGCATGTTCCTGTCCTCGCCGTCAGACGCCTCCGCCTAAGCCAACAGAGCTACCTATGCCGGCAACGGAGAGCAACGTCGACGCCCTGCGTCAGTGGCTGGCCGACTATTACTCTGCGAGCACGTTCAACACCTGTGAACATCAGCCACTCACGCCGATGGACGGTCCACCCCTGCGCATCATGCTCAGACCTGACGCCGAGCCAGTGGCCCACCACAAGGCTATCCCAGTACCACTGCACTGGCAGACGGAGGTCAAGGCCGCCCTGGATCGCGACGTGCAGCTGGGGGTCATCGAGCCCGTACCGATTGGTGAGCCGGTGACCTGGTGCCACCGGATGGTCGTCGTCTCCAAGAAGTCGGGAAGCCCTCGCCGTTGCGTCGACCTTCAGCCCCTGAACCGCTGCGCCGCAAGAGAGACGCATCATACCCCAAGTCCCTTCCACCAAGCCCGGTCTGTGCCGAGGTCGACCTACAAGACGATACTGGACGCCTGGAATGGCTACCATTCGGTGCCCCTACACGAGGAAGATCGACACCTCACCACTTTCCTGACCCCTTGGGGCCGATACCGTTACTGCGCGGCACCCCAGGGCTACATCTCCAGCGGTGACGGGTACACGCGCCGCTATGACGAGATCGTGATGGCGGCAAACCTGTCACACGACTGCTACACGAAATGCATCGACGACACCCTTCTCTGGGGAGACAGCATCGAGGAGGTGTTCTGGCGCACTGTGGAATGGCTGGACATGTGTGGCCGTTCCGGCATCACGCTGAACAGCGAGAAGTTTGTCTTCGCCCAGAAGACAGCGGAATTCGCTGGGTTTGAAATCACGCCTGACACAGTCCGCCCGTCTCATGCCTTCCTTCAGAGCATCACCGAGTTCCCCACTCCCAGGAACCTGACAGACGTCCGCGCGTGGTTCGGGGTCGTCAATCACGTCGCCTACGCATTCGCCATGGCGGATGCCATGCTGCCGTTCCGGGAACTCCTGAAGCCCGGCAAGTTCACGTGGACGGATGAACTCCAGGCACTGTTCGACATGTCGAAACGGACCATCGTCGAGGAGGTCACGAAGGGTGTCCAGATCTTCGAGACAGATCGCCCAACCGTCCTGGCCACCGACTGGTCCCGTACTGGTATCGGTTTCTGGTTACTCCAGAAATACTGCACATGCGCCGGTCGGTCACCACTCTGCTGCGCTGAGGGCTGGAAGACCACGCTGGTGGGAAGCCGCTTTACATCCGGCGCTGAATCTCGGTACGCCCCGGTCGAGGGCGAGGCGCTGGCAGTGGCCGACGCCCTCGAGAAAACGCGCTTCTTCGTGCTCGGCTGCAGCGACCTCACGGTCGTTGTTGACCACAAACCCCTCGTGAAGATTTTCGGGGACCGATCACTGGTCGACCTGCCCAACGCCCGTCTCCGTAATCTCAAGGAAAAGACCCTCCGGTTCAGATTCGACATCAGCTATCTCCCCGGAGTCAAGAACCGCGTTCCCGACATCGCGTCCCGGTACCCAACCGGCGCTCCCATCGGCATAAGCCTCTCCGACGACGTCACCGTCGACGATGCTGGCGAGGTAGCGGCAGCCGCCATCACCACGATCCGGTCTGTCACCTGGGACCGCGTGAGGGACGCAACGGCAGGCGATCCGTCGATGATGCGACTTCTCGAACTGATCGAGGGAGGGCTACCAGCCCACCGCCACGAGATGCCTGAGGAGCTCCGAGAGTATCATTCGCTCCGTGATGGCCTATACACCAGCGACGGCATCATCCTGTATGATCAGCGAATCGTCATCCCACCCAGCCTCCGCGAGGAGGTGCTCCAGAGTCTCCACGGTGCGCACCAAGGGATCGGCATGATGCTCGCGCGCGCGGCCGTAAGCGTGTACTGGCCCGGCATCACGTCAGCTATTCGGCGCGCCCGTGAACGATGCCACACGTGCAACCGGAACGCCCCATCGCAGCCATGGGCCCCACCTGAGGACATCAGTTACCCAGAGTACCCGTTCCAGCAACTATGCGCGGACTACTTTACACACTGCGGCCGTACGTACCTCGTCATCGTTGATCGTTATTCTAACTGGCCAATCGTTGAGAGAGCACAAGATGGCAGCGCAGGCCTCCGAGACTGTCTCTACCGCGTCTTCAGCACATTTGGCATCGCTGAGGAGCTGACGAGCGATGGCGGGCCGGAGTTCACTGCCCACGAGACACAGGCGTTTCTGGCCGACTACGGTGTTCGTCACCGCCGCTCCTCTGTGGCATTCCCACACGCGAACTGTCGCGCTGAGGTTGGCGTCAAAACCGTCAAACGCATGATCGAAGGCAACACAGGTGACAACGGGGAACTGAACGTGCGACGCTTCCAGCGCGCCATGCTGAACTACCGCAACACTCCCGACCCCACGACAGGGCTGTCGCCGGCCCAATGCGTGTTCGGTCGTCCGGTGCGAGACTTCATCCCGATACCCCCCGGTCAGTACCGTCCTCATCCCACGTGGCGCGAAACCCTGAGTGCTCGTGAGGAGGCACTCCGGAACCGCCACATGCGGGACCACGAACGCTGGTCCGCACATACGAGGCGACTACCTCCACTGACCGTCGGTGATGCCGTCCGCCTCCAAAACCAAATCGGAAGATATCCCAGGAAGTGGGACAAAACTGGCCGCGTCGTGGAGGTGCGACAACATAACCAGTACATGGTCCGGGTCGACGGCAGCGGCCGAATGACATTGCGCAACAGGCAGTTCCTGCGCAAATACACTCCGGTTGTTCCGGCTCGTCGTCAGCACACCCGAATGGACGAACTGCTCGACGACTTCCGCCGACATCCAACACGCGTGTCACAGTCGCACGCGAACTCTGGACTGACGCCACCCACTTCTCCACCTGCGGCGCAACCCCCCGGCTCTCCGACTCCAGTGGTCGGCCAGATGCCGGCGACGCCGCCGCGGGCGCCCCGTGGCAGGCCCCCGACACCGCGTCCACCCGCGCCATCGCCGCCTGTGGTGTTATCCCCGCGCGAGCGAGATGCGTCGCCGCCCCTTGTGTCCCCACAGTGTGTGACGCCGTCACCGTCCATGTCGACTTCACCACCACATCGCGTGTCCCCGCATGCGTTGTCGCCCGGTCATGCCACGCCGTCGCCGCCGGCCATGCCGCCCCCTGCCGCGCCAGGCTCGCAGCCGCTGAGAGATACTGAACCCGACCGTCCCCGTCGCAGTGATCGCCCGCGCCAAATGCCGATCCGCTATCGCGACCCCAATTTCACGCGCTGACTGTGCCACTGACTCCCTATCATTGTCAAACTCGGCAGTTGTTTGCGATGTTCGGATATGTTCCGCGTTTAGTGTTTGATCGTTGTCCCGGCTCGTTTTCCAGCCGGTCCACTCGTTCTGGTTGCCTAGAAGCTGTGTTTTGTTGCCCCCTGGGCTATTTGTTTGTTCGCGCTCCCGTGAATGCGACCCGTCGTTTGGCCTTTCGGCGTCGTTTCGTTACGGCACCCTTCAATCTATGCCAATCTATGTAAGTCTTTGTTCCCGGCCGGCAAAGACTGGGGGGAGATAGACATGTATGCAGTGCCTTCCCTCTGTAACATTGTTTCTGTCTCGTCCGCAGGACTAGATATGTCCAACATTCACTGAATTCCGAATACAGAATATCGAAATGGCGCGCATGCCTATCTACTATGTAACATCAAAGCAATTTTGATTTGTTACAGCAGCTTCAGATCATGATAGGCTTGAGGTTTGTTACACCATTTGCCAGACAAATCGCTACAAAATGTGTATCAATTCCCAAACTAAGTAATTGATCATATCAGTATTTGCAGTTTCCACACAATGTTTCATAATATTATTCTATGTTTATATAAAGAAACTCAAATAATCCACAAATTGTTATTGAAACACTCCCACTTCAAGAATTCACAGCAATAACAGTACAAGTTCAAAAGCAAACAAACATTGCGCCAGATTTCGTATGAAACGCGCCATCGTCCTGAACTCTCTACCACAGACGGTAGTTCAACCCCGCAGCCGTAGTGCGAAAACCCCTGCCCACCTTACCCCACGGCGGAGCTCGGTTGCAATTTGTAAATACGCCACCGGGGTGGGTGTGATTTACACAAATGGCCGGTATTGTGTAAATCTCACCGTGGTGTGATATACACGGTCCCTTTCCTGAAATTCCTCAAAGTCACGTGGTCATAACACACTGACCTAGCCTATATACTGAACTGCGCCACAATATGAACAATGCATGTGTTGTTTTTATTTTGAGAAAAGTACATGTACATAGGTTGTACATAGGTAATGGGCGGCGAGTGTGCGCTGTTCGTGCGTGTTTGGCAAGCAAGTTCTATGCAGGTTCTATGTTCTATATATGGCCTTGAGCGGGAGGGCTGCTGGTGTGTTGTTGGTGTTCTCGCGATTTTGTGATTGATAATAAACATTGTTTTCAATGCCATTGTATCTATTGTTGATGAAGTGTTCCCATTCCATTTGTTACATTTTGATTTGTTGTTGTCACTTGTCAGTCCAGTTTAGTTAGGTGGGGTCCGGCCAGTCCAGCTTATTTAATTAATTTATTTGTTTTTCGTTTCACCCAACTGCCAACAGCCACAAAAAGTGGGTATTATGTCGGGAACTGGCGGACAGAGACACAGCTGTACCCCATTTGCACATTTCATACAATATTGGTAACATTTTCATTTTACCTACTCTTTTATTATTCTCACCAAAAGTCAAAATAAATACTCAAAGAAGACACATGATAGTGCTATATAGGTTCCTAATCACACAATTTGCCAGCATTTGCTGTATTTTTAAGGTACTGATTTGCTTAACTTGGCAGTAGGTACTTGTTAATTTACCAAAATATTGTGAGCTATAATGAATTTGCTGTGCTGTAATAAATTGCTGAATTATTTTCAGATAAATTAGAAGTACGCTGAGCAGCAAGGAATCAACAGGAGATGGCTGCAAGGAGAAAACCAAAAGCTGGACGAGGAGGACGTGACCTGTCTCAGGTACCTATGTGCTTGGCTGCAGGCTGGGAATCAGTTGAAGAAAAGTCTCCCAATGATCTTAGTAGTAGCACTGTTGCTCTATCTACCTCTCCCAGTAGCCCTTCATGATCCCATGTGAACCCTGCATACCTTGTGTGCATCCTTAGTCTGACCCCCCTTTGGTCTCTATTTGATGGCTATCCCCTGTCTGTGTGACCCCATATGACCTTTCCATGCTCCCCACAGTATGGTCTGATGTCAGTGGGTGGCGCCGACATGGCCGGCCTGGCTGACGACGGGGAGCTGGACGTTTCTGACGCCGCTCTGGAAGACGAGCTGGCTCAGCTGCTGTCTGGAGCTGAGATACAGGCTCCACGCCGACCGAAACCAAGTGAGTGACCGCGGTAGCTGCACACTGTCTGGGGCAGATATATCCGTGTTGTGCCGGACAAAACCCAGTGACTAGAAGGGGGCGACGTACTGGTGCAGCGCCGACCAAAGCCCAGTGAACGAGGCAGTGCGGGGGGGGGGAGGGCGACATACTGGTACTTCTCAAATACCCTGGGCCGACATACAGACGCCTCGCCGAACGAAAGCCAGGTGAGTGTGGGGGCGGGGAGGAGGCAGATACTAGCATACTTGGTTTTTTAGATCGCAAAGCCGCACTGTCCCAACTACCAGCAGTATTGGCATATTCTGGTGGACCCAAGTCGTTCCGTTATGCACCTATTTGCGCCATCTACCTATTTTAATCGTGTTCAACCTCTAACTTCTCGATTATCACCCTCCGAGATAGACAATTGGGGCTTTAGGGCATAGTCGGCGCGCCCTAAAGCCCCAATAAACAGCATCATAAGAAAAACCGGCGATACGGTGGACGCGGTCGCTATCCTCCATTCTAGTCGCATTCAGCGGTACTCAGAGCGATCAACCGTCAATTGAGGGCAGCATGCACGCATTGGACCAGCTCCTACCCAGCAGACCGCTTTGTGCACTTTTCTCGCGACAAAGCCTGTGTTTATTGCCTTGTGAGGCTTATATGTGGTTCAAATGCATGCTTTTTGCGGGCGTAGATGCTGACTGTGACAATAACGTTGCATTCTTTACATTGGCTTGACCTCGCTGTTCCTCCCAGTTCCTCTTACCGAATGCACCCGTTTTGTCGGTACATCTTAGAATGCTCAAACTGAAGTAGGTAGGTTAGATGGTACGGTAATTTTCTTGATAGGTAGGTAATGCGCATTTATGCCGATGTTACTGTGGGCATTCTGTAGTTATTATGTTCATAGTCTTGCGGCGTCATGTTGCCCTATTCTCTCATCAAATCTCTCCTTTTTCTTTTTTATTTCACCGGGCTGCCATATTCGCCCTTTGGCTCTCTCCGCCGTTTACCGTTGTTTACCGCCGTTTGCCGTCATTTACCGTCGTTATCTACAGTAATTCAGGATCCAGCTCTCCTTCACCCCGATATTTCCCCTCCTCAGAGACTGCGGTGCCGGCGGACCAGCTGGCCGCAATGACGGCAGCCTGTATGAAGGACGACGACGAGATCTCAGACGTGGACGAAAACGACCCTGATCTGCTGGTGAGGGCCGGGACGGGATAGAGGGCGAGAGGGAGCGAGAGCATGGGACGGAATAGATAACAAAGTTTGCTGATGGATGTGATAGGGGGTTTGAACTTTGAATGGCCCTTATCTTGGGCTAATAAAGATATGAAGGGGAGGAAGGAGTGAAAAACTGTTGACATCAGTGATAAGAGGCGTCACTCTGAAGGGGACTATCAATAAGCATCGGTAAACGTTTTAACATGGTCTGTGTCCGCCAGTGCTGCTTGAAGATTTAATGAACTTTAATTGCAGTGTACTGGTGGAGCGTTGTATCAATGATATTCGATTATGTGTGGTAATGAGTTCATAACTCAAAGTAGGGTAAAGAAATTAAGTCGTCTCCATTGAGCCGGGAAACGGGATTAATCAGCATTTCCATTGAGCCGGGAAACGGGATTAATTAACATTCCGTATTCTGTCCCAATTACCTTGGTTTCTGTATTAGCTCTTCTTGACACTGGGCACTGACGGTCACGACTGTCCTGTTTGGCCTCAGGCGGAGCTGATGGCCGTGTCCGGTGACGACGCTGCCCCGACACCCCCTCCCGTCACTTCCCCGGCCAGGGCGGCCCCTCCTCCTCCGGTGCCCAAACGCGCCGCACCGCCCGCACCGGGCCCGGCCGCCGCCCCCGCCCCGGCTCCGGCTCCGGCTCCGGCGAGCGACATGGCCACTCTGCTGCTGGAGCGGCTGGAGATGTACCGGGTGGCGGAGGCAAATGCCAAGGAGGCCGGGCAGACCAGCCGCGCACGACGGTGGGTCAGGAGTCGGGAAACTGATGGTAGAGGGAGTATTTCGGGGGTTACAGAATCGAGCACACCGATTGAATGGGACGCTGGGCTGAGGAAAGGGGAAGCTAAAAGACACCGCTGGGTATGCCTCTTGAAGGTGGGATGGTTATTTTTGTGCATAAGCAACAACATATTATTCTGCTAATACCATTTCGCAGCAAACGATTACTCAAGTAGAGTTTGCTCAGCACGGGGATCAGAGACTGGGGGCGTGTGTGACACCCCGTCCTCCCAGCAAGTCGATTTGGCGTAAAGCCACGGAAGCGTCCATTTTCAACGTTGTAGATGACCTGCAGACGGCTGGATACTGTTAGTCCCGGAACAAATGACGTCGCCGCAATATCAACAACGTCTAATGGCGAGACCCACAATCCAAACAATCGTAATCCGCCGACGCGTGAAAGTATCACATATTGTGTACCAGCCTATCATTTATGATTCGTGTATTCTGTCAGAAAACGACACTGCATTATTTTCTTTTATTGCCGGCATATCGTAACCAAAAATATATCATCTAATACTGTACAATTCTATCTATCCCCGTGCAACACGTTGAGCTTCGCCAAAGGACACACCGGATGGGTTTCCATCTGGATGACGACTGGCGATTTAATATGTGATTGTGTAGGCAGACGAGGCGTGATGTGTCGTCATTTTGCTCGTATATGTCGTAATAAGCAGTATGTAGGACTTCAGAGTAACCGATCTATATGAACGGCTCAGGTTCGTACGCGGTCTGAAGACCCTGGAGGACCTGCTGAAGCGGGCTCGGGCCGGCCGGGCTATCGATGAGGAGGATATTCCGCCGCCGGTGTACACGGCCGCCGCCCACAGCACGCCGGCCGCCCCCGCCCCCGCCCCCGCCCAAAGCCCGCCGGCCGCCCCCGCTGGGGAGCAGGCCGACGCGCCGCCGCCCGCCGAAAACGGTAAGTGTGTGTGTGATGGAACGTGGTTGTACGTAATGTGGGATGATAGGCAATGTGAGGTTGCGCAATTTGAGATATTAAGTGCAGTTGGATGTCTACACGTTGGTAAGCTTGTAGTGATAGCGATAGCTGATCCCGTGGAACCGTGTCTTTTTTTGCATGTAACATGCTATTGTTAAGTTGTCAAGCACATACGAGAAATTCTCGGTGTTTGTGATAAGAATAAGATGACAGACTTCCGTTTCAACTATGATTTTCATCCAGGATCTCTTTAATCCGTTAGGCATCAGTATTTGATGAAGTTTTTAAAAAGTTGGTGCTGTTTGAAGTTCACTTTGATAGATTTAATTAGAATTCACTTCTTTGAAGCTATTCTTTTGACTCTGCAGCTGCTGTTGTTTCTGTGCTAAAGCTCCTGGCGACAGGATATTTGCTTGTTGAAGTTTGTTTTTGCAATCCTTTTTTCTCAAATTTATGCATTTTTTAAATAGCTGGAGCGCTCGAATGCATGCATTTAACAATATAAAAACTAGGAACTAAGTAGTGCTTTCACATATTCTTTTACTTAGAGCAGTATTTTTTATGGATAAGTTATTAGTGATATTTTTCATTAGCACTACTACTAACCTTCGATCAGCACTTAAGATCACTTCATTTTTATTCTCTCCCCACTCGATCCCCTACCTTTGGCCTCATCGGACTAAGTCACATCTACAACCACACCTGACGGTTCCCTCCCGGCAGCTCCATCGCCGTCCAAGGCGCCTCGGCCGGACGAACCCGCACCGTCACCCTCCGTCCACCCCCGTCTGGGAGAGGTGCAGGACAGGATGGGCCAGTACAAGCACGCCGCCGTGCTGGCCAAAAAGGCAGGGGACAAGGAGACAGCCCTGCAGTACGTCCGGGTAGTCAAGGTACGCCGCAGTTGCTGTTGCTGTTGTGTCTGTCAGTGCGCAGCGGGGCCTTGTGCCAGTCTGGGATGAACGCCCTTGTGATTGTAACGTTATTGAGTGCCTATGTGAGGTTGGAACTTGGAATGTGTGCTGCTACTCATTGTTGCACCGGTATGCACCAAATAAGGGGTTTCTAATGCATTTGTTTCTAACTTGAGCATGAACATTTGTCGTCACTTGTAATACGGATTCCGGCAATGCTACTGAGGTGATATTTTCCAACCAGTCGATCGGGCTGTCTGCTTAACCACCCTCCCCTGTTCTCTCTGCAGGCGTTTGAGCAGGTGATAGCAGCCATGGAGGCGGGTGAAACTGTCGACCTGAGCGACATGCCCCCTCCGCCACCGTCCGCCGCCCCCGCCGCTGCCGAAGGCTCGTCGTCGTCCGGAGGGCGTCCGCCGCTGCGGCGCCGCTCCACCCGCGGCGGAATTCCGCTGGACGAGCCGGTGGTGGTACCTGAGGGCGGTCCTCCGCCAGCCGACCCGTCACTCTATAACGCGCCGCCGCCACCGACTACTGTGCTGGATGCACTGCAGCAGAGATTGGAGAGGTACAAGGTAGGTACTGGTACCGTGACAGGGTACGAGAGTGGAGCAGAGATAGCGGTATGAAGGCGATATCCGAATCGGTTGTAGAGATATGAGTCAGTTGACGGCTGTTGCTTATTTTCACTGAAGTATTCACGGCTGTTGCTTATTTATTTAGAAATTTTGGCGTCGTTGGCTATTTTGACGAATTTGTTGATAAAATTTTGCGGTGTGCTCGTTACCAAAGTTGTATTGCTCGTTCAAGTTCCAATGTTTCCCAAGGCCGACATATGTCTGCTTTATAGAACATTTAAGACACGTTACATTGCACGTAGCGGCTGACAGTTTGGTTTACGCTACGGTCTGTTCTTTGAACTACTGTTGAACTAAGCTAGACTAATGACTTTAAGTCCAAACTGTGTCTCTCTTTCGCTCGCTTCAAATAGGACTGACCCTCAGTTTCCCTCGCTCCATAGCAAGAGGAGACTGAGGCGAAGGAATCTGGCAGCGGCAGTAAGGCGCGACGATACGGTCGCATCTGCAAGCAATATACGGACGCCATCCGACGGCACCAGGCTGGCAAACCAGTGGCCTTCGACGAGCTACCCACCCCTCCCGGTGAGCGCACGAGCGATACAGTCTGAGCCACGTGTTGATACTTCAGTTTAGAAGCGGTGAAAGCTTGGCCTCATAACATTCAGCCTTTCTTATGGTGTTGGCGCCAGATTGTCTCAGCACGATCGACGTTGTTCCGTTATGTCAAATCGAGTTGTCGAATCAATAGACTGGTTGCTGAAATCGCCTCATCACAAAACATCACAAAACAAGCTGTATTACTCAGTGGCCTTTGGGCCACCGAATTCTTATTATTTCCGATTTCTCCGACAGGATTCGGACCTATTCCAACCGAAGGTGCTGGTGCCGCCTCCCCTGCCCCTGCTGCGGCCCCCGCCCCCGCAGCAGCAGCAGCAGCGGCGGCAGCGGCAGAAAAACCCAGCCCAGCCGGCGCCAAGGCCGGCGTCACCCGGCAAAAATGTGAGTGCCGCTGTCTGAGCGCTGCAGCTGAGTGTGTTTTGTTTACGGGTTAGGTACTCGTATGGTGGAAGGCTTATCTGACTTGCGCTACGACGACGGTCATAGTGAGGATATTTTTTAATATTTCTTTCGCTAGATCAAAGGTTTCATCTTATGTTTCAATATCCGTTGTTAAGTGGCGTAGAATGTTCGTTTTGAAACACATGCAAACAACCTGGTTAGGTGGGTGACATCATTTGATTGTGATGTTTAGGTCTGCACACCAATTTTCGTAATTGATTGTTGAATTACTTTTGAACATTGTTATGTATCTCGTGAACGGCATCGTTACTGATGGGATTGCCTATTTTCTATGTTTCTATCCGCACCAAATGGCACCTGCGCTCAACACCAGCTCATTCTGACTCAGGCCCCTCTCCCACCCTCAGCCATCGGTCAGCAGACGCGCCAGCAGAAGCAGCGTGCCTTCCTCGACCAACGCCGTAAGCTGTTCCTCCAGGCAGCGCTCCAAGCCAAGAAGGACGGTGACAAGGCGGCCGCGCTCGAGTACCTCCGCTCGGCAAAGGGCTTCGAGCCGCTACTGGAGGCCACAGAGAATGGCCTACCGGTCAACATGGACACGGTACGGACGCCATGAGAGGGCACTTTTGGCTGGTGGAACGGTGGACTTCGACGGTATTGGCAGGGTGGTGTGGATGGGACGATGCTTCGCCAGTTACTCGAGTCTGATGTGGTTGGCTGAGAACTGACGGCTGGTTGGGGATAGCTGCGCCCTCTATCCCATTACGACTCTCTGCCTGTGTTTCCTCAGTAATCGAGGTTCAAGGTTGGATAGGGAATTGCCAAACAGCTATGTGGCAATTGGCTCACGGAACGTCTGGAATGAGGCACTCTTTTAATTTTGATTTTCCACTGACCTTTTCTGTAACGCATGGAATATTGATCGATTGCGTTGCCTGCTTCTCGCAATATAATTGGTGCGTAGTGGCAGCTACATCAGTCAACCCCCCCCTCCCCCGTCTGACCGCGGTCCTGTTCCTTTTGGTGGGCAGCTGCCGATCCCGCCTCAGGAGCGGGCCAAGGCGACCACGGCCGACTTCGAGGTGGTGTCTCGCGAGGAGGCGATGGACGCGTCGGCCACCGGCGACGACGCCGAGCTGGCCGAGCTGTTCCAGAAACTGGAGGCCGACCTAGTGCGACAGGCCACGGTAAGTCGGGTAATACATAGTCATGGTGGGACTAAAGGTTATAGCTGAACGGTTAGAGGCTTTGAATCACGGTTAGAGGGGTGCGGTTATGGGAAGATATGAAGGGTCACGGTAAAAACTACAGGTCACGTCGTTGAGATGGTGGGTCACGGTGAGAGGAGCAAAGTCACGGTTAGCGGAGTGGGTTTATTCAAGAGCGTTATTACGGTGAGAAGTTTTACACGATCGAACATCCGCTCTTGCCGGCTTTGCTGAGCCGGCCGCTACCCGCGCCCTCTGGCCTCGTGTCTAGTGCTGACTATATTCTCTGTCTGCACTTCTGTCTGATGCTAACTGTCTGTGTCCCTTCCCTCGCGTCTGCTCAGGTGTGTCAGACCAACCGCGACCACTACCAGAGCCTGGGCGAGGTGGCCGAAGCCAACAAGTTCGACCGGCTGGCGCAGAACTGTCTGAAGGATCTGGACGCCTTGCGGCATGCGTACCGACGCGGTGACTTCGTGCCCAAGTTCCACTACGAAACCCGCGAGTTTCAGATCGTCAAGTGAGCCAGTGGGACGGAATGATGGAAATTTTATGGAGATGAGGAGATTTAGTTTGGACTTGTGGCGATTTTGTTTTCATGGTACTGTGAAATGTTTTACTGCTTCATTCCGGTGTGAGAGCTCTGTCACGACTCTGCAGAGTGTCATTCTAATTCTCGGCTTATGAAAGTCCTTGGAAAGTCTCATGAAAGTCCTCGTCCATTAAAGAGATTTTGTCCCTACGGGAGTCCCTATCGCAGTGTGGGAGTCTCATCCCCGGGTTAAGAAGGGAGCCCTGGTCCAATTGTAGATAGGCAGTCCTTCCGGTCAGGGCTGGCGTGTTAATACGTCCAGACTCGCTCGGCTGCGAGCGGGTATTACGCCGGCCTCTGCGTGTTTATAGTGTCACTGGGAACTCGGGGCGTCAATCGCCTCACGCCACAGACGCGAGCCTCCGGCACGCCCCCCGCACCTCAGTCTGCGCCGCGTCTGGTCGTGTGATCAGTCTGGACAGACACGCCCCCACCCGGCTGGGGCGGGCTCCACCCGTCCCTCCAGGGACAGACAGCCTCCTCGGCCCACAACAGGGCCATGTGAGCAGACGCCACGTGCTCTCTAACGAACCCTGACCTCGACGGGGGCACTTGTACGGGCATCCGGTGGCCGAGTGACATTAATGACGGACGAGGGGAACGGTTTGCGTAAAACTCAACGCTGATCCTCTTCGTTTTTTTATGAACACTTTTTGTGATCTTAACACATTTTGTTTACGATATGACAGATAACAGGAAGAAAAAATATGAGAATGAATGGGGCTTGTGTTATGACATTTGTATCTAAACGTTCTTAGTTACGTTGTTAATTAATTTATGTATTTTTGCGTGACTTACCGCCATTATTTCTTTGGCTTGTTTACCTCATTGGTTTCAGTTGTCAAGTGTGATGTCTGTATTGGTATTCGTGTTTGTTGTGGTAAGTTCGCCGTTCGACGATGTCCGTTCCATCATCTATCGTCATGGGCCTGCCTCCGTTCTTCAGACCGGGTCACTGGCCGTGTGATGCCAGCTCAGGCTCTGATGGTGTCTTACATAAATCACCAGCTAACCCGTGTCGTCCCGACGCGCCCACTGATTCGATCCGCTCCCGCTCCGTGTGTCTCCCCCAGGGCCTGTACGGACCTGAACAGCAACGACCTGGAGATGACCATCGTACGGGGGGTGAACTACAACGTCTCCAATCCCAAGGACGTCGACACCTACGTGAAATGGGAGTTCCCCTGGCCTCAGGTCAGTTGACGATGATATCTCCAGTTGGTAGTGATATCTTCTGACCTAGGGTCAGGTCATTAAGTGGAGAGTTCTGGCAATAGGCCGATGGGGAGTTCCCCTGGCCACAGGTCAGTCGGTGGAGTCCCTATGCCTTAGTTCAGTCAGATTTTTCTTGGCTCCAGCTGGGGTCAGTCGGTGGTGAGTTCTCCGTATCCTTGGTCAATCAACAGCAGTTTCCCTGGTCTCAGGTCAGTAGCAGCTGGAGATTCTCTGACCTCCGTCAGGTCAATCGTTGGGGAAATCCCCTGGCCCAATGTCAGTAGGAGTTCTCCCGACCATAGGTCGGTCAATAGGCGCCACCGGTACCAGTCTCCCTGACCTACACCATTCCATCGTACCCACCTACACTATACCGTCACCAACACCCGCTCTTCCGCCTGGCTCCACCATCCACCACCTCTCCTACTGGTTACATAACCGATCGTGACGTCACCGCCGCCCGTTTTGGCGTAATTGACGGTTCTGCCGCCGCCGGCGGTCGTCTGGCGTCCCTGCTGCTGTGTCTGGCAGACTGGTCGGCAGCAGGAGTAGTTTTCCACTGAGGGTCACGCGTCCCCAGCGGAGAGTGTCAACGTGAGCCGCTGTCACGCCGTAAACACGGCCCCGGGACAGCGCGTAATAGTGGGGGGAGTCCTGGTCAGATGTCCGGAGGCATAAACAGTTTGCTAATTCTGATGTTAAATGGAATGTGTAGTGCCATATTTACAATCGGAGGCGTCCCATTACCCTTGATTTTGAACATATGATATGCCGTGGAGGAAATGGTGTGACTTCGACACATTCCTGTTTTCAACTGCAAGGCGATTTAGCTGGTAGTGCAAGCTGTCTTTGATTTTTTTTTTAAGATTTTAACGATTAATTATTTGAACCCTTCAAAGCAAAATTGACACTGTGCAGCCCTTCCCCGAGATCAGTTCGCCCATTTTCTGAGACATCGATTCATCATCTCTCCGCTAACCAGTTGGGTTCCCGTGACATTCCAATGATATCTACTTAGTCCTAGTTCAGTGTATGTATGGCGCTCATAGAGACCCGGATCAACGAACCCGTCTGAGTGTCTGCCGAAGCGATGATGCATGAGTGTATCGCTCAAGGCTAGCCTCAGATACTGGCAGGATGACTTGGGCAGTGGGCACCCTGCATGACTAGTCGGGCTTAGAGAGACACAGTCAAGGTTTCGGATCGTCACGGTGAAAGTTTGTGGTTTTCTGATGGCGACGAAAAACTAAGAACGGGGACTTCCTTTACCGTGACTCTGATAAGTTATTATATAACTGATGGTTCTCGAACGTTACCGGTTCGATGTAACGGATCAGTCTGGTTAGGCGGCACTTATTCAATGTAAAACATGCTGCAAGCTCGGCTAGTTTTTCAGCATCAGTGGATTGGATTTGAGTCTTTCATTGTCTTTTCAACTATTAATTTACTTATCTGTGCAACCTGATGTCCTGTATTTGGTCCCGGTTGCGGTGGTGACCTGTTACTAACTACTGTCGGCAACTTATCAAGCGTCCCTCTTATATCCTCTCACCTGACGTCAACTCGTGGTGAGGGTGACCACCTTCGGAACCCGTCGCATCCGCTGTATTGCCCTGCCAGCTTGTGACACTTGCATTTGGAGACGAATAATTCTCTTCCCCTATCTTCTCTCCTCTTGGCACTCTTCTCTCTCCTCATCACCCCTCCTTTCTCCATTGTCTCGTCTCGTTTCGTCTCACCTTTCCCTCTCCCTCTTTCTGTCACAGCCCATCTCTTATTCTCCCTCTTCTCACTCTCTCTTCCCTCCCCCATCGCATTCTCTTATCTCTTGCATAGCTGTTATCCTTTTCGCTTACCCTTTTTTCTTCTCGTTTCCTTGCTCTCTGTCCTCTCTTTTCCAGTTTTTCCCTCTCCTTCCTTTCTTTCCACGTACCCTCTTGTCCCATCAGGTGCACACCTTGTCCCATCACGTGCCCACCACGTCACGTGCCACGGCCTGTGGCGGTGGGGTCGCGCGCCACGAGGTCAACCCGTGGTGACCCCGTGTACGGAAGGCCGCCGCCGCGGGCCACGATCCCACGGCGTGATGTGGGGATACTCGGAACGCCTCCGCGACTGTGACGCTGATGCCGGCTCCCCTGCCGTGCGCCCTCGTGGGTGTGTTGTGTGTGTGTGAGGATTACCGTGACGTGTACAGGTGTGGGGATAGAGGGTGCGGTTTGTATCCGGGCCCCGTGCTATCAGTAACGCGAGGTGTCAGGCCGCCGTGTGGTACACGGTGGCTGGCCCGGGTAGTAACAGGCACGGATGACACTGAAAAATGTGAATGATTCTTGTCAGTGAGTCATTGTCTGGGGTTTGTAGGGAAGGGTAGACGGAAAGTATTTTAGGGTGGCATGCAACCTGATGCAATGATGGGTTTGTCGACTTTCCTGTTTGTCGGCTGTTGGCGCTTGCGTGGCTCATTGTTGAGGTGTCGTCATTTTGTCTAATCCGCCTCTAGGATGGATTTTGGATCTGAAGGCTTTTAGAAACATGCTTCACCTGCGGAATTTGTATGTTTTCGCAATGCCATTGCTTCCCCTTCTCTAACGCCCATCCCCTCACTCGGCACTTTTCTAGAGCCACTCCCGGCCTCACTCGGCACACTTCTCTAACGCCGCTCTCCCTTTCGTCTACCGCAGGAGGCGCCCACCTACGATAAGACAGGGAAGGTGAAGAACACCAACAACCCGGAATACGACGCCAAGTTCATGATCGCCATCGATCGCAGCTCCCGGTCCATGATGAGGATATTTCGGCGACAGAGTATCAAATGCGAGGTCTGGGAACGAGGGTAAGTGAGGTTTCCCTCCCCGCTCTACAAGAAGTAAGAACTAAGAAGCCAGGGAGAATGTACAGGCCGTATTATTGTATATTAATCATGGTGTTGTCATCGCTTTTGCTTTAGCTTGGACATCGCTTCATTTGTATTTGCGTCGCGAAGAGAGCCCAATTAAAACTTGGTGAAACGCTGACATTGCTAATAACACTGCCTCCATGAAAATTGCGAGCAGACCTACAATATAAGGAATACTCGTGAGTTGCCGCTACTAAGTGTAATATTCCAGCTTGATTTGGAAGGCGATGGTCATGTGATATCCTTGAACATGCCGCACCCGAAGTAGTCCTTAAAACCTGGCGCGAACTATTGACTCAACACTCGAGAACCAACAAGAGCAATGCAATCAGTGTCAATAGGCGTTCTTGCTTGTGCCAAAAATGTCACATATGCGTCCAAGATAGAGTAGTAACCACGCGAGCAAACCAGTCTGCATCACTAAATATGCATGGCTGAGAACATTCATTGGCAGAATCTTAGCTAGTCCGATAGGGCCAACATCGCTGCTCAAAGGGTCAATTTGTGGCGCAGATCATCGGAAACTGTTCTATAGATCTAGCAATGTCGCCTGAACAGGTAACCTTGACTCTGCGGTCGACGGGATTCGTCAAGCCATAAATCAGGAATTTTGCACTGTCATGCTTACGAAGCGACGATTATTGAGCCTCGGAGGTGATTCCAGGCTCCCATTGAACTCTTGAGCACCACCATCTGAGTCAGCGTACAAATTAATACCTTTTGATTGTTCTTGTAAGCCCCAAGTGATGATTTATTTTTCAAATATCTTTGTACTTCCGAAACATTCCTATCCACATAAATAACATTAGTCTTTTGACTTTTGAGGTTACGTAAGTGTAAGTCAAGTTTTGACTCGGATTGTTTTCCGTGTTTTACATAACCAACTGGACATTGATAATTATATGACAAAGCTTAATTTGTCCTCGGCTTTCGCCATTTCCATTCGGCAAGTTTGCTGTACCCTCCGTCTGGGTTTTTGATCTAATCTGGCCCGCTCGATTTATCAATTTCCAATTTATCTCCTTCCTGGTCATCATTACTTGCTAAATATCATACGAGTCTCTCTTCTGACCCGTTTAACGCTAACTGCTCCTCCGACCTGACCCAGGTCAGCCCAGCTCAGCTCAGCCCCGGGTCTCCCCGCCATGTACAGTCTGCTCCGCACCGTGCCGTCCGCTCTGACCGCGCCCGCTCGCTGACAGGGCCCGCTGGCGCCGCTGCCGCTCACCGTGCTGTTCTATCGGCAGTCATCTGTTTGGCTGGACGGACCAGCTCATCGGCACCGCCCAGGTCAAACTGGAGGACCTGCAGGACAAGTGCGTCGTCCACAAGGCCTACAACGTGAGTACCTACGTGTCATGTCGTCCACAAGGCCTACAACGTGAGTAGTATCGTCCACAAAGCCTACAGCGTTACGTGAGTACCTACGCGCAGTATCGTCCAAAAGGCCCACAACGTGAGTACCTACTTGCGGTATTGTCCACACGGCCTACAACCCTCGTGAGTACCTGCGTGTCATGTCACCAAGTGAAGGATGAGGCCTACAACGTGAGTACCTACGTGCCATGTAGCCAACAAGGATGAGTTCTACATTGTGAGTACCTGCATACAATGTCTTCCATAAGGCCTACAACGTGAAAACCTACGTGCAGCATCGTCCACAATGCATATAATGTGTTATGTGAGTATCTACATACGTGCAGTGACGTCCACACGGACAAGACCTACAGCGTGGGTACCTGTTGATGGATGGACGGCGATTGAGCGTGAATAGGACGGGTCGTTGGGCGCGTGGTAGGTGGCGTGGTGGTGAGCGAGTCAAACGCGGCTCGGTAGATACGATGGCAGCCACGGTGACATAAATGTACTGGTTGAGAGCGGCAGTATAAAGGCGACAGGCAGGACTGTAGGGTGGTGAGAGCGGCGATACAGTGGTGGAAACGTTGATAGAGTATTAGGGCGACGTCAGAGTATTGAGAGATGTGACAGGGTGTAGAGAAGGGGATATTTCCCGCATATGAAACTGCAGTTGATATAGATATCGAAGGGCAGTCTGGAAGCCAATTTAATTGGTTTTCGTGAAGTTGTAAAGCTGTGCGATAGCATTCTGGTGGGTTACATAAGGTCAGGAACATATGCAGTAAGCAACAGATCAGGAATTGGCAATATGGGCTGCGGTGGGTAGCAATTTTCCGGTCCCGTTTCTTTTAGCCCAATCTGTTGCCGGCGGCTCGCTGCGTGTGAGAGAACGTGGACTGTATCTTTAACGTCAGCAAAGAAGGTACAAAATACCCGTGTGTCGGTTCTCCTTGTTATACCCCTTAACGGAAAGAATGTATACAAAATAGGTCTGTATTGCCTTTAGACCATATGCGGGCTATGCAAACGTGCGGGCAAACAAAAGAATACGATAATAAAATTAACGATACAATAAATGAGTGCTTAAAAACCCGGAGCGAAATCCCAGGTTTTTAAAAGCAGAGGATACCAGCCTTCATGGTACCATAAACCAATCGGCCTGGCTATCGGATGGGCGGCGGTCAGAGGTCGGCGGGAGGTGGTGTCTGAGTCAGTACTGGAAACTAACTGACGCACCGTCCGGCGGGAGACCCTGACCTCGGCTCGGTCTATCACGTGACAGGTCACTCGTTTGACGTATGCGGGCACCCGCACCGAGCCGGCGGCCGCGCGGAGCGGCCGCGCGAGCCGCGCTCAAAGTACCGGTGCACCCGGCCGCCGCGCCGGGTGGAACCACGATCGCCGGACGCACAATGTTACCGTACCGCAACATTCTCCCCACCCGAAAATCGTAGATTTTCTGCGATTTTCGAACTCCCTAGAAACAACATAAAGGCACTTCGCTCAGAACGGAGACCATTCGGACACACCTCGCGCACCATTGTCCGGTACCAGTCGATCACTCGCGACGCTCACTCGACTGCGCCTGATGGGGTCTCAGAATGACCAAACGAAAGAAGTCGCGCAGCACCAGCGCCGGCTGGTGATCGTGTCACCACTCAGCCTCGGTGGAAGCCTCGAGCTGCACCGATGGAGGCGTCTAGTGGGCGACGAATGACCGGCGAGCGGTGCGGGTGGCGGCCGAATCGCTCAGCTCGGACTCCACCATCTCAGCAGCCTGGCACCGGAGACAGCGAGCGACCTCCCCATGCTCCGACCGGGAAAGGAAATCAGGCAGCTCTGTCGACAAAATGTGACGCAATGTGAGCGATAAAGCTGAAAGCAACACATAAACTGGTTGCAACAAGGGCAACAAAAGGGGACACAGAAACAGTGTACTGGCTCACGGGTGGTTGAAAAACAATCATTACTTTATCGTCTCACTTGGTGATGTGCAAACCAATATAGGGGAACATCATGGGGTTCAGCATTCGTGGCAGGTGCCATCTGAAGGGCCTGTACAGCAGTGGCAGAATCTCCTCTTTGGGTACTGCACACCCTCGAGACTCCACGGCCAGCTTGTCGAGCAGCACGTCACTCTCCTTGGCTGGGATTGAGTTCGTTCCAGGGTCATCGGCGGCGTTGGAGGCTGGGGAGGCTGTATACGGCACTGGCGCTCCGGTGGCCGCACCGCCTCACTGACCGCCATCAGGTTACCGGCAGGCTGCGGCCTGATGACCTCCCCACCATGCAGACGTGATGCCTTGACCGGTGGCCCGTCATTCGCGGCCGCTGCTCGGAAGTGACCCTTGCGACGACGCTTCCATGACCTTGAAGAGATTGTCGGCCCTTCGGACGGTGGCAGCTCCAGTTCCGGTGGCTGCATCACCGGTTGTGGCTCCTGAGAAGGGGCCTCATCAGTTTGCGGGCTTCGGGGTGTGTCCAGATCACACTTTTGCTTCTGTTGGAGACCTTGCTGTGAGGGATGTTGTGGTTCCTCGGCTCGCCCCTGGAACCCGGCACACTCGATTGTGCCGGAGCCGATCACTGGGAGATCCGGTTCCTCGGCCACTGAGCTGCTGGTGTAGGACGCGTCGGATCCTGCATCCAGCCGCGCTCTCGACATCTCAGATTTCTCAGGGCCGTGTCCTTTGACAAGTTCTGCCTGTAGATAGCAGGGTTGTTTGATGTTCTGTGTGCTGTAGCGATGCTTTGGTTGATGCTGTATACCGTTCCTGACCTCTGTGTCAGTGAAGCGGTTGCCGTCCCGTTGACCTGGATCCTGGCCCAGCTGTCCAGCAAGTGGTGCTGCGACAGGCTGTCCTCCAGTCTGATGATGGGAGGTGCCCGATGTTGGGGTGGGCACTGGAGCCACTGCTGGTGTCTGGTCGCGATGAAGTGATGTGTGATGAGGGCCGTGACACAGTATGCACGTGTCGCTCCTGCAGTCTTGGACGTAGTGTCGACCCAGACACTTGAAACATGCTCCTGATTTCTTGACGATCTTCCACCGATCATCGACGGTCATCTTTTGGTATCGCGCACATCTGTCAAGACGATGTTGATACTGCTTGCAGACTGTGCATACCCATGATCTTGACGGTTGCCCCTGCACCCTCTGAGCATGAAGGACACTGGTTGTTGATTTCAGCGCGAGTGGGTCCGTATCCTCACTCGCCTTGGTGCAGGTCAATTGTACTGACTCCTCTAGACATTCCACCTCCGCCTGAAGAAATTGGAGAAATGCGGCGAACTCGCTGCCCTGGTCTCCAGCAAGTTGTCCTCGCCTTTGCCTGGCCCATTGCAGCCTCCAGGGAGCGGGAATCTTTCCCTTCAGCACCGGAAGTAGGACGCTTCCGATGCTCGGCACCCTCATGGCTTCCAATGAGCGAACGCCTGTCGTCACCTCGTCCACCAGGCGCCTCAGAGATTTGAGGTTGTCCGCGCTGGTGACGGCCGGCAGGTTCAGAAGCCTGGTGATGAGGGCGTCCTTGCGGATGTCGTCCCTCCCGAACCGGTCCTTGAGGATCTGTACAGCGACCATGTAGTTGTCGGCTGTCAGCGGTAGTCCCTGGATCGCACGGGCTGCAGGTCCATCGAGATGCTGACGCAGGAAGCAGAGCTTCTGAACAGAGGAGTAACCCCTGTTCGTGTGAACGAATGCCTCGAAGAACTCCCAGAACTCCGGCCAGGCCAGCAGGTCACCTTTAAACCTAGGCACGGTGATGTCCAGCTTGAACATCGCCGGAGGCGCGGATGGTACTGGTGAGGCTTCGGCTTGCTCCGTCTGCGTCAGGAGGCGTTTCCCGAGACCGATGGTCTTGTGGAGGTCTGCGATGTGCGCCGACTCTTCTTCAACGCCGAGCGCCTTCAGCTCCGACTCCAAGTTCTTCAGCAGTTCCAGGTGGCCCTCTCCGATCTCGATGTTGTAGTCGAGCTCGTCCCGCGCTGTGCCGTCACTATCTTCACGGACTTGTGAGTATAGGGACTTTAGCTCGTTTGTTAACTTTGTGGCCTTTGTGCGCTCCCTAGTGCGTTTGAGTTTCAACTGTTCTACCTCAGTTACGTTAGTGCCCGTGTTATTCATTTTGAATGAACTGGGTGGTTCTGGCTATTCAGCACCTGTAAACTTCTAGTACTGCGAGCACATCCGGCCCGGAGGACCAAATGTTGCCGGCGGCTCGCTGCGTGTGAGAGAACGTGGACTGTATCTTTAACGTCAGCAAAGAAGGTACAAAATACCCGTGTGTCGGTTCTCCTTGTTATACCCCTTAACGGAAAGAATGTATACAAAATAGGTCTGTATTGCCTTTAGACCATATGCGGGCTATGCAAACGTGCGGGCAAACAAAAGCATACGATAATAAAATTAACGATACAATAAATGAGTGCTTAAAAACCCGGAGCGAAATCCCAGGTTTTTAAAAGCAGAGGATACCAGCCTTCATGGTACCATAAACCAATCGGCCTGGCTATCGGATGGGCGGCGGTTAGAGGTCGGCGGGAGGTGGTGTCTGAGTCAGTACTGGAAACTAACTGACGCACCGTCCGGCGGGAGACCCTGACCTCGGCTCGGTCTATCACGTGACAGGTCACTCGTTTGACGTATGCGGGCACCCGCACCGAGCCGGCGGCCGCGCGGAGCGGCCGCGCGAGCCGCGCTCAAAGTACCGGTGCACCCGGCCGCCGCGCCGGGTGGAACCACGATCGCCGGACGCACAATGTTACCGTACCGCAACACAATCTAACTACGGTTGGCATGGGCTGTATGATATCACCAGACGTAAAATGGCATGTATCTAAAATATCTTCCCACCATCGAACTGGCAGCTCGTGAAGCTCAGCTGATCTTTTATTTGGTGAGCCCACGGTGACTGGTATTTTGTCAAAACTTTGTGAGACCTCCACGATTCCTAGTCGTGGTAGGAATGACATTGAAACTC